ATTGTCGAACATGCCACACGTGTCAATTAATTGGAAAACCAAATCAAACGATACCACCTGCTCCTCTACATCCGGTTCCGGCCTTCGAAGAACCTTTCAGTCGGATTATCATCGACTGTGTAGGACCACTACCCAAGACCAAATCTGGCCATCAATACTTGTTGACCATAATGTGCGCTGCGACCAGATTTCCAGAAGCTGTTCCTCTCCGGAAAATTAAAACTCCAAACATTGTGAAAGCGTTAATCAAATTTTTTACAGTGTTTGGTCTACCCAGAGAGGTGCAATCCGATCAGGGAACCAATTTTACTGCCAGATTGTTCAAACAAGTGATGAAACAATTGGGAGTAAAACAGTGTATGTCCAGTGCTTATCATCCAGAATCTCAGGGTGCCCTAGAACGATTCCACCAAACACTGAAAAACATGATCCGTACATACTGTTATGACAACGAAAGAGACTGGGACGAAGGAATTCCCATGCTGCTGTTTGCTTCCCGAGAGGCGGTACAGGAATCTCTGGGATTTAGTCCTTTCGAACTGGTGTTTGGCCATACGGTTCGAGGTCCACTGAAATCACTTAAGGATATGTGGATGTCTTCGACCCCAACCGAAGGTCTTCTAGATTACGTCCTTCGATTCAAGAATCAACTAAGTGACGCCTGTTGGCTGGCCCGATCTCACTTGAAACAATCACAGCATAAAATGAAAACATGGTATGATAGGAAGACGAAAGCCCACTCGTTTTCACCGGGGGATGAGGTATTGGTGTTTCTCCCCATACCAGGTCAGACACTGCAAGCCAGATATTTCGGCCCATATGAGGTCGAATCCAAGAACGATGACTTGAATTATGTGATAAAGACCCCCGACAGGAAGAAGAAGAGACAATTGTGCCATGTCAATATGTTAAAGAAATATTTTAAGAGAGAAGAAAGCCAACCAGCCCCAGTGAAGACTGTCGCTATGATAAACGTTTGTGATCCTGAGGATGAGATCCCTACAGAAAAGGCAGGACAATATAAATTAAAAAATTCAGAGATCTTGTCCAATTTACCAGCCAAACTTTCACATCTTTCCACTGACCAACAAGAAGCTGTTACGTCGGTAATTAGAGATTTTGCCACTTTATTTCCTGACATTCCAAACAAGACCAACCTCATTGCTCATGACGTAGATATTGGGTCAGCATCTCCGGTTAAACAACATCCATATAGGGTAAACCCAATCAAGTTGGAGATAATGAGAACAGAAGTGAAGTATATGCTGGAAAATGATATTATTGAACATAGCAAAAGTAACTGGAGTTCCCCGTGTGTTCTAGTACCTAAACACGACGGCAGTTATCGGTTCTGTACCGACTTTAGGAAAGTGAATGCGGTCACTAAAGCTGATTCGTTCCCAATTCCTAGGATAGATGACTTGATAGATCGCATGGGGAATGCCCGTTATGTCACCAAGATAGACATGTTGTCGGGGTATTGGCAGATTCCCCTATCCGATCGAGCCAAGGAAATATCTGCGTTTGCTACTCCTGACGGACTATACCAGTACAAAGTAATGCCCTTTGGTATGAAAAACGCTCCGGCAACATTCCAACGCCTCATCAATAGCCTCATCACAGACTTAGAAAATTCAAGTGCGTACATAGATGACATCATAGTCTGCAGCAATGATTTCGTGAGCCACGTGAAACAAATACGAGCTCTGTTTAATAAACTAGACGAGGCCGGGTTAACAGTTAACCTGAACAAGAGTGAATTTTGCCATGCCACAGTCGAATATCTTGGTCATGTCGTCGGACAAGGACAAGTGAAACCGATCGCTGCTAAGATTCAGGCTATTTCACCTCCCAATGATAAAAAGCAGTTAATGAGGTTTCTGGGGATGGCAGGGTATTATAGGAAATTCTGTGAACAATTTTCAGTGATAGCCGCCCCCTTAACCAACCTTCTCAGAAAAAAAACGCCAAGTTTATTTGGTCACCAGAATGCGAAGAAGCCTTTGTGAGGATTAAAACCATGCTAACTGGCTCTCCGGTATTGGTAACCCCAGATTTTAAACGTCAATGCCGAATAGCTGTGGACGCCAGCGATTCCGGTGTCGGAGCTGTCATATCCCAGTTAGACGAAGAAGAAGTGGAGCATGCGATTTGTTATTTCTCGAAGAAATTTAATAAGCACCAAGCCAATTATTCAACGGTTGAAAAAGAATGTTTGGGCATAATCCTGGCGTTGCAGCAATGGGATTTTTATATCAGTTGTTCGGCTCAACCAATCCTGGTGTTAACGGACCACAACCCCCTGACATTCCTCAACAAGATGAGCACAAAAAAACCAGAGGTTACTCCGGTGGAGTTTATTTTTACAAGAATATCAATTGGACATTAAGCACATAAAGGGGCTACACAATGTCGTGGCTGATGCCTTGTCTCGGTGTTAAATGTTCTGATGAATTGTATTAAAAATTTTGCAGTATATGTTAAATAGTTGTGCAAGATACACCTTAGAAGTGCTGTCTTGTGGTAGTTCTTGGTTTGACGGAGAGAAGCCAAAAAGGAAACGCAGACTAAAACAATACCTAAGAGAGTTGGATGGCCTACTATTCCAAAATTAGAATGAGATACGAAGCTGTAGTATAGGAATAGCTTCTAGCTTTCAGTAATCATCATGTAATAGATTTCTTCAACATTTCTCATTTCATATAACCCCGGAAAGGGTAACTACTGTAAAAAGATTTCACCAAATGAAAAGAAGAAATCTATTTTTTTAAGGGGGGAGGTGTGATGTATTTGTTTATATAAAGTGTGTGTGAGAGTGGCCTCCCCTTGTAGTGGTGTGCAAGCGAGAGAAGAAGTGTGTGAACTGTGTGTGTCAGCGGTGTGTGGTGTAGAGCGAGTGAAGTAGGGAATGTTTTTGTGTACCATGTTCAGTGTTCCCCTGTAGAAGTTGAAAATTATATTGGATTATTACATTTGAACTGTGTTTTAAATTGTGTTATACCTTGTTCCACTATGAAATGGAAAGCTAAGCATAACACCACACATACCCTCTACACCCCACACATACCCTCTACACCCCACACATACCCTCTACACCCCACACATACCCTCTACACCCCACACATACCCTCTACACCCCACACATACCCTCTACACCCCACACATACCCTCTACACCCCACACATACCCTCTACACCCCACACATACCCTCTACACCCCACACATACCCTCTACACCCCACACATACCCTCTACACCCCACACATACCCTCTACACCCCACACATACATTCTACACCACCACACATACCCTCTACACCCCACACATACCCTCTACACCCCACACATACCCTCTACACCCCACACATACCCTCTACACCCCACACATACCCTCTACACCCCACACATACCCTCTACACCCCATACATACCCTCTACACCCCACACATACCCTCTACACCCCACACATACCCTCTACACCCCACACATACCCTCTACACCCCACACATACCCTCTACACCCCACACATACATTCTACACCACCACACATACCCTCTACACCCTCTACACCACCACACATACCCTCTACACCCCATACATACCCTCTACACCCCACACATACCCTCTACACCCTCTACACCCCACACATACCCTCTACACCCCATACATACCCTCTACACCCCACACATACCCTCTACACCCTCTACACCCCACACATACCCTCTACACCCCACACATACCCTCTACACCCCACACACACCCTCTACACCCCACACATACCCTCTACACCCCACACATACCCTCTACACCCTCTACACCCCACACATACCCTCTACACCCCACACATACCCTCTACACCCTCTACACCCCACACATACCCTCTACACCCCACACATACCCTCTACACCCCACACATACCCTCTACACCCCACACATACCCTCTACACCCTCTACACCCCACATATACCCTCTACACCCCACACATACCCTCTACACCCCACACATACCCTCTACACCCCACACATACCCTCTACACCCCATACATACCCTCTACACCCCACACATACCCTCTACACCCTCTACACCCCACATATACCCTCTACACCCCACGCATACCCTCTACACTCCACACATACCCTCTACACCCCACACATACCCTCTACACCCCACATATACCCTCTACACCCCACACATACCCTCTACACTCCACACATACTCGCTACACCCCACACATACCCTCTACACCCCATACATACCCTCTACACCCCACACATACCCTCTACACCCTCTACACCCCACATATACCCTCTACACCCCACGCATACCCGCTACACTCCACACATACTCGCTACACCCCACACATACCCTTTACACCCCACACATACCCTCTACACCCCACACATACCCTCTACACCCCACACATCACAGCCTGCCCTGGTCACGCTGACCTTAGGTCTCTAATTTCTTTCCTTAAAACAAACTTTGTGTAAACAAGAAAAACTACTAACGTCTGCTGTAAAAACTATTCACGTCTGCTAAGTTTCGGGAAGTTGATCCAATGTACACAGTCTAACTACATAGTTTAAGGCTGGGGGGGGGGGGTCATTGCTGCTAGTTAGAAACCTTAAGGCAGGGGGTGGGGTGAGGTAGAGTTGGGGTAGGGGTGGGGTGTGGTAGAGGTGGGGTGGGATGTGGTAGAGGTGGGGTGGGGTGGGATGGGGTGTTGTTGCTAGTTAGAAACCCTAAAAGCCGAGGGTAGGGGTGGGGTAGAGGTGGGGTTTGGCAACCCCGCGTGTCCCCACCCCGCCCCACACATCATGACGTCATACCTAGTGATCAAATTATTTGTTTCAAGTTAGGGACCGTCTAGATAAGCCACGCCCAAAAATTTAACCCCCGCCCCCCTAATTTGCCTAAATAGGTTATTAAAAAGATGAAAAGTATTTTGAACTCTAACCTATAACCTCTAACCTATGACCTCTAACCTATGACCTATGACCTACCTGTGATGAACACGGCCTTGCCGGTAGGGTCGACCCTGACCTTGGGCACCGTGGACCACAGCAGGACACACGCGGCCACCAGCAGCGTGACGTAGAAGACCAGCGGTGAGGTGAGGGCCATCAGGCCACTCAGTGGCCAGGGCCGGTAGATGTAGGCCACCAGGGCCAGGTTGGCCAACAGGATGGACAGGCACGTGCGGAACTTCATCTCGCTCACGTGACCTCAACACGTGACCTAAACACGTGACCTGACAGGCTTGTCTGTCGACAGAGACAGTCCCAGCTGTCTTGGGTTAGATAATCTGTCGGATTTACTGTCTTACTAATCTCTAGTTAATCCATTGTGTGATGATGTCGAGACCTGAAAAAAAAGAATGTGGTCTTTCAGATTTGACAACTACACATAAACATAGGGCGCTTGTATACAAGCATAAAATCGACTACTAGCATACACGCATACAATCGACTACTAGCATACACGCATACAATCGACGACTAGCATACACGCATAACATCAACTACTACCATACACGCATTTCAAAACAAAAGTTCCACGCCACTTTTGTCTCCAACCCATCTGCTATAGTGACGATGTTTCCGAATGTTCTCGAACATTTTAAACAGCGTCTGCGGTGGTACAATAAAACAGATATTTAAAAAAAAAAATCTTAACACCAACAAGCTTTTTAATGCACTGAAAAAAAAAGAAAAAAAACTAATTTATTTTCCTAAATCAAAGCTTTGGTCACTATTGAAATCTTTTACATATTTTAGCGACAAAGCTTTTTTTTAAAAGAAAGAAAATGACTTGATAAGAATACGGGTGAACACATTTGATTGATTCACTTGGTTTGTCTATAGCTCTTCCAAGAGATTTCTCAACACGAACGTCCGGGGGGGGGGGATTATTAAGTTATACGGTGGCTAAAAAGCACCCCCTCCCCCATGACCACCACCATTGTACCCCCGTACATTTGATTAGAACATAGGTCAATCAGTGAGTAAAGCCATGAATGTCAATTTTCCTGTCATTTCAGTACCCTCCCCCATAACTACGACACATCATATGTGATGTCATTGTCATGCCAGAAAAGATGTCATGTTATCAGGATATCGTGCCACAGGGATGTAATGTCACCATGATGTCATGTCACCATGATGTCATGTCACCATGATGTCATGTCACCGTGATTTCATGTCAGCAGAATGTCATGTGACCAGGTTGTCATGTCACCAGGATGTCATGGGACCGGGATGTCAGGTCACCAGGATGTCATGTGACCAGGATGTCATGTCACCAGGATGTCATGGGACCAATACTGTACGACTGCTGATGTCAGCAGTATCGCAGTTAAAACACGAGCTCTGATTGGACAAAACTCACTTGATTCTAAAAATAGAATAGTAAGTATGTTGCAGTCTAAGCGTTTCCTTTGTGTCAGTTCAGTGTGTTACACCATAAGCCATCGTTTGTGTTACACCATAAGCCATCGTTTGTGTAACACCATAAGCCATCGTTTGTGTTACACCATAAGCCATCGTTTGTGTAACACCATAAGCCATCGTTTGTGATACACCATAGGCCATCTTTTGTGTTACACCATAAGCCATCGTTGTGTTACACCATAAGCCATCGTTTGTGTTACACCATAAGCCATCGTTTGTGTTACACCATAAGCCATCGTTGTGTTACACCATAAGCCATCGTTTGTGTTACACCATAAGCCATCGTTTGTGTTACACCATAAGCCATCGTTTGTGTAACACCATAAGCCATCGTTTGTGATACACCATAGGCCATCTTTTGTGTTACACCATAAGCCATCGTTTGTGTTACACCATAAGCCATCGTTTGTGTTACACCATAAGCCATCGTTTGTGTTACACCATAAGCCATCGTTTGTGTTACACCATAAGCCATCGTTTGTGTTACACCATAAGCCATCGTTTGTGTTACACCATAAGCCATCGTTGTGTTACACCATAAACCATCATTTGTGTTACACCATAAACCATCATTTGTGTTACACCATAAGCCATCATTTGTGTTACACCATAAGCCATCGTTTGTGTTACACCATAAGCCATCGTTTGTGTTACACCATAAGCCATCTTTTAAGATACTTTTAACCTGTATTTCAAGTAACGGGTCAAACGTCAGTGTGTGAGTGGGGGGAGGGTGGATGTGGGGGCGTTAGGGTGTGTGAGTGGGGGGAGGGTGGATGTGGGGGCGTTAGGGTGTGTGAGTGGGGGGAGGGTGGATGTGGGGGCGTTAGGGTGTGTGAGTGGGGTAGGACACTGGACGGAAAACGTGTGACTTTACTAGAGCACACAAATTAGAACATATTCATCTGCTGGATGACCACGTGACTCGACCGGAAGCGGAAATGAACGGGGCCAATCAGCAAGCGACACGGGAGACATTTGAGGGACAGACGGATACGTGGGTGGATGGGTGGATGAATTGACTAATGCGGTGGAAAGATGGATAGTTGGATCCAGAGGCGTAGCGAGGGGGGGGGGGGGGGCGGGGGCGCCAAAATGGGTTGGAAAAACAAATCGAGGGTTGCAAATCAAAAGTTTGTCCCAGGGCGCCGGGAAGGGTCGCTACGCCTCTAGTTGGATGGCAGGTCACGTGTTGTAAGCAGCCCTGGCTGGGCTGATACTAAACAACTCCCAGTGGTGTGTCAGACGAGTTGTTGCTCCTCGGGATAGACATAGGATAGACTTGGGGTAAACTTAGGATAGACTTAGGATAGACTTAGGATAGACCTAGGATAGACTTAGGATAAATTTAGGATAGACTTAGGATAAACTAAGGATAAACTTAGGATAGACTTAGGATAGACTTAGGATAGACTTAGGATAGACTTAGGATAGACTTAGGATAAACTTAGGATAGACTTAGGATAAACTTAGGATAGACTTAGGATAGACAGGATAGACATAAGATAAACTTAGGATAGACTTAGGATAGACAGGATAGACTTAAGATAAACTTAGGATAGACTTAGGATAGACAGGATATACTTAAGATAAACTTAGGATAGACTTAGGATAGACAGGATAGACTTAAGATAAACTTAGGATAGACTTAGGATAGACAGGATAGACTTAAGATAAACTTAGGATAGACTTAGGATAAACTTAGGATAACCAAGGACAGCTTGTGATAATACCCGATGACGTCAAAGAACACGTCCTATTTTTATACAGGTCAATAGGTCAAGTTCATCTGGTCCAAGGTTTTGAATCGTGTTGATAATTTTGATGTGTGTGTGTGTGTGTTTATGTGGGTGTGCCTCTGTGTGTAAGTGTACGTGCCTGTGTATGTGTGTGTATCTATGTGTGAGAGTCTGTGTGTATCTATGTATGTGTCTCTGTTTATGTGTTCCATTGGATATCTGGATCACACGTTACTGTTATCATATGCATATTTATTTAGGCTTATGTTAATAGACAAATAGGCATATGTTTGTATGTTTGCTAAAGAAGGCAAATGTATGTTGAACATCACCACAGTGGCTCTACTTCATCTAGACCAGTAGAGGGTTGAAACCTTCAAGCCACTTTCTGAGAGTTTTCTAGAACTCTGCGACACGTGTGCGCCGTGCTGGAAGAGGCAACCGTGTGAACCAACTACCTCTCCTATATGTGGTGGGTTAGCATTGGTTAGACAGTGGTGGGGTGTGGTGAAATTAGGGGGGGGGGGGGTAGCATGAAGGAGTGGGGGTAACTCGCACGTAAGGTGTGGGGGGTGGGGGTAATTCGCACGTAAGGTGTGGGGGTGGGGGTAATTCGCACGTAAGGTGTGGGGGTGCAGTAAATAAAAGGCAAACAGGGCAGTGGCGGAACTAGAAAAAAAAGGCCACCCCGCAAAGAAATTTTTTGGGCCCCATATATACATATATATATATATATATATATATATATATATATATATATATATATATATATATATATATATATATATATATATATATATGTTTAAACAAAATACGAAAATACTAACATAGAGTACTCATTTCGGGGTTGTTCGGGTTTTTTAAAAATTCTTAGCTTTGAAAAAAAATTAAAACAAGTTACAACAACACGTTCAGTTGTATGAGTGCTATTAGTCTGATATGAAAATCTCTGTTTAAATATCTGTTTTCTATAATGCTTCCTGTAAGCAATTAGGTCAAAAGAATATGAAGCATGAAAGCTTTGTATTTGTAATAGTTTCTTACGCTATGTTTATGTTCATGTTTTTTTTTGTATTTATATTATTAGTTTTAAATACATTTCATTTTTATGCTTTGTCATTCTTTATAATGTTTTTTTTAAAATAATAACTAAGAGAAGTAATTGCTCTTTAATTTGTTTAGTGCAAATCTATTAAAGGGGGCTTAAGAGCGCACATATTTGACTATTTAAAAAAGGGAGATAAATCATGGAAGTGGTTAGAACGTTTACCTATCTTTCACGCGATGGATTTATTTTCAAAAGAATTTTGCCGACAACAGCGTGTGTTTAATTGTAGGAGAAAAAAAGAGGACTCGGGATGGTGTTTATAGAATAACGATAATCCAACCGCAGCTACAGTCTTCTTTTTACAAAACACAACCATCAAGTCAAAAATGCAAGAAAATAATTTTTTTAAGCTGTAAAAAAAAAATTGATTATGGTCGACTGTGGGCCCCTAAACGGCCCGGGCCCCCCCGCACTGCGGGGTCTAGCGGCACTGTAGTTCCGCCCCTGAAACAGGGATGGAGGAGGTCGACGGTCACGCATGACTTCACCAACACAAAAATAACAGGAGCGACCCCCCCCCCCCCTGTCTTTAAGCCCGGGTACCAGACAAGCGAGTTATCTCCCTGTCCTGTTCCCTTAAGAGTGGGACAAGACCCCCCCCCCCTAATAGTGGGACAAGACAACCCCCCCAATAGTGGGACAAGACCCCCCCCAATAGTGGGACAAGACCCCCCCCCCTAATAGTGGGACAAGACAACCCCCCCCCCCCCCAATAGTGGGACAAGACCCCCCCCCCCCCAATAGTAGGAAAAGACCCCCCCCCCCCCCAATAGTGGGACAAGACCCCCTCCAATAGTGGGACAAGACCCCCCCCCCCATAGTGGGACAAGACCCCCCCAATAGTGGGGACAAGACCCCCCCCCCCCAATAGTAGGACAAGACCCCCCCCCCCCAATAGTGGGACAAGACCCCACCAATAGTGGGACAAGACCCCCCCCCCCCAATATTAGGACAAGACCCCCCCCCAATAGTGGGACAAGACCCCCCCCCCAATAGTGGGACAAGACCCCACCAACATCAACACGAACTTTGACTTTGGGCTGCAGACAAATACACGTGACAGTCGGTCATGTGTTTACATGTCATCATTTGGATTGACATATAAACGTTCCGCGTCACATGTCATTTGAAGAGACATATAAATGTTTTGTGTAACATGTCATTTGTAGTTAATATTGAAAACGATCGGTTTTTAATCTATTTATATCCTTCCCCCCCCCCCCCTCCCTCCCCCCTCCCGCACAGCGATTCTTCTAGCCCTCTCTGATGGAAACTCCCCCCCCCCCCCTTATAAATGTATAAACAGAAGGGAACACCACGTGATGTAAACAAACCCAACCCCTCCCAGCGCTGTTTATACGAGTTAAAAGTAGGTCAGTTCCCAGGTCCCCCCCCCCCCCCCCCCACAGGTTACCTGAGATATTTGGCGCAAGTTATTCCATCAGTTTGCACCTTGTGTCATTCTCGGATCAAAACTTTCGAATTGCTCAAACAATTCGTGTGTAACGTTAGTGTATTGGTAGACCAGTTGAAATGTTTTCTCATCAGCTAGTAAACAAATAATCACGTAAACAAAGGTACTCGTAAAAAACAAGTCTAGTGGCTGTTGAAATGTGTGTAGTGGCTAGGGGGACGCTGGTGAGGGTGGGGTGGGGGGGGGGGGGGGGTGGCGCCCCAAGCATCGACCCCTGAGGTCACCAAAAGAGGTGAGGTAGAGAAAATACTTTCAACTGACCCATTACAGTTGTCTTACTGAAGTAACCGAGTAACGAACTGACCCATTACAGTTGTCTTACTGAAGTAACCGAGTAACAAACTGACCCATTACAGTTGTCTTACTGAAGTATACCGAGTAACGAACTGACCCATTACAGTTGTCTTACTGAAGTAACCGAGTAGCAAACTGACCCATTACAGTTGTCTTACTGAAGTATACCGAGTTACGCTCTGAAACACCCCACTGCGCCATGTTGTGACGTAACTGATTCCTAAATTTAAAAGCTTCTCTCAAACAATACAGAACACACTTGCTAGCGTAGTGGGCTTTTGTCAGACACCACCATAGCATTTCTGACATAGACGTATTTACACACATACACACACATATACACACATACACACATACATACACACGCTACGCCTCTGACAATGAGTTCACCACTAGACACTAATTTAAACCAGCACAGTTGTCAATGAGGTGGTTTCCCAAATCCCAACCTCTACTTACAGTTACATATATTATGATATATCCCAGACGAGCGAGAAAGCCGGGTTTTTCTCTCCTAAATCTTCCTCTTCCTGTTTGTTAACAAACTGTATCTAAACACCGCTAGTCATTAGCCCACGTGATAATCTCGGTCACATGCGGGGGCGGGGAATGTCAAGGAGTTCAAATTTAAAGTTTTAAAATTAGTTCAGTTTAGCAATACATAGATCTGTAGCAAATTTTCAAATAGTAGGTATCGACGTCAGTACGAGTATCGATATCCTGCTGGTATCGATGTCACACTTAATATCGATACGACTCAGAAAGTGAAAGTTGACCTCCCTAGTGTCACATCGTGGGGAGGGGGGGGGGGAGTGGAGCTTTTGGATGGACTTGCTAGGGCGATCTAACGTAAAAAAAAAAACAACGAACGTCTTTGATATAGGCCATAACTTCACCAAAACACGCCCCTTTTTGCTTGAAACCACGCCTCCTCCCGCCTGTAGTGTTCCTGGTCACTCTGCCGGCTTTAAAAGTTCAACAATTTAGTGTTGGCAGAATGGTAGGTACAGCACGGTACAATTTAGTGTTGGCAGAATGGTAGGTACAGCACGGTACAATTTAGTGTTGGCAGAATGGTAGGTACAGCACGGTACAATTTAGTGTTTGCAGAATGGTAGGTACAGCACGGTACAACTCAGTGTTGGCAGAATGGTAGGTACAGCACGGTACAACATAGAGGGTACAGTATGGCTAGCACGGTACAAAATAGAGGGTACAGTATGGCTAGCACGGTACAGAATAGAGGGTACAGTATGGCTAGCACGGTACAACATAGAGGGTACAGTATGGCTAGCACGGTACAAAATAGAGGGTACAGTATGGCTAGCACGGTACAAAATAGAGGGTACAGTATGGCTAGCACGGTACAACATAGAGGGTACAGTATGGCTAGCACGGTACAAAATAGAGGGTACAGTATGGCTAGCACGGTACAAAATAGAGGGTACATTAAGGCTAACACGGTACAACATAGAGGGTACAGTATGGCTAGCACGGTACAAAATAGAGGGTACAGTATGGCTAGCACGGTACAACATAGAGGGTACAGTATGGCTAGCACGGTACAAAATAGAGGGTACAGTATGGCTAGCACGGTACAAAATAGAGGGTACATTAAGGCTAACACGGTACAGAATAGAGGGTACAGTATGGCTAGCACGGTACAACATAGAGGGTACAGTATGGCTAGCACGGTACAAAATAGAGGGTACAGTATGGCTAGCACGGTACAACATAGAGGGTACAGTATGGCTAGCACGGTACAACATAGAGGGTACAGTATGGCTAGCACGGTACAGAATAGAGGGTACAGTATGGCTAGCACGGTACAACATAGAGGGTACAGTATGGCTAGCACGGTACAGAATAGAGGGTACAGTATGGCTAGCACGGTACAACATAGAGGGTACAGTATGGCTAGCACGGTACAGAATAGAGGGTACAGTATGGCTAGCACGGTACAAAGTACAACATAGAGGGTACAGTATGGCTAGCACGGTACAAAGTACAACATAGAGGGTACAGTATGGCTAGCAAGCTACATGGAATTCCAACAAGTTATAGTGGTACACATACATAACGTCACCGACAAAAAGACATAAACACACCTCTTGTACGCAGAAGATGAATGTACACAACAATTGTACACAGAAGAAACACATGAATGTACACAACAATTGTACACAGAAGATACACATGAATGTACACAACAATTGTACACAGATACACTCTAATCTGCTTGTACTGTAGCCAGCCTCGATCAACTCTACTGCAGCTGGTTTACCCACGTTTCATTGCAGTACATCAGACCCCATTGCTCTAATTAGCTAACCTAACCTAATTGAAAGCTTCACTTACATGTGCCTCTGAACGTAATCACAACAAGAAATGAAAAGTTGATCCCAACTTGAAATGGACCTCTAATTTACTCTAAACTGAGACAAATATCCTCTCCAGTTGCAGGTGCAATAACTCGAGTAATTTGCGGCGAATGTTGGAGTTGTCGAACCTGTCAGGTCGAGCCGTTAAGCCAGGACTAAATGGCTGCGACACTCAAGGCGACCCGCGGCGAGAGGGGGGGAACTAGGGCACACGGGAACGGCAGATTTAGCGTCCCGCGGACTGTGAAGGCACACGGCGCAGTAGAGACTGTGAACAGACAGCAGACGTTAACTGTGGCCCATCCGTCATGGCTTTACTGCCACCAGCAGGGGCGGCGCCGAGGTGGGCACATTCTCCCACAGGGTGGGGCTGCACATCTCGGGGTGCGTGGTGTGTGCACCCGCTCAAGTGGGAAGTGGGGGGGGGGGGAGACTTGAGGAAAGGGAGGTGATGCTGGTATAACGCTGCACAACTGAGGTGCACAACTGAGGTGCACACATTTCGTTTCTAGAATACTAACACCGTAAACAGGAACAATGTTTTGTTTATTCCAGATTCATGTTTTACAAATCTCTCTCCACCGCTTTATTAGAGGTAGGCCAATTTGTTTTGTAACTAAATCTAGATCGAGATTGTATTATTTTTAGTTTCAGACGGCGACTGTGCTGCATTATAAAAGGATTTTTATGGATTAGGAAAGAATAAATAATTTTGTGCTTTTATTTTTGTGTGGGGGAATGTTGGGTGGGGGACTGTTGTGTGGGGGATTGTTGGGTGGGGTTATTGTGTAGGGAATGTCGTATATTGACTTTGAACTTAAGAAGTGAAACAACACGACTGTCTAAATCTATTCGAGAATGTTCTTTTGGAAAATGTTTGGGGAAAATTACACTATCACCACGGACAGTGACGGATAAACGTGACACCACGGACAGTGACGGATAAACGTGACACCACGGACAGTGACGGGTAAACGTGACACCACGGACAGTGACGGATAAACGTGACACCACGGACAGTGACGGATAAACGTGACACCACGGACAGTGACGGGTAAACGTGACACCACGGACAGTGACGGATAAACGTGACACCACGGACAGTGACGGATAAACGTGACACCACGGACAGTGACGGATAAACGTGACACCACGGACAGTGACGGATAAACGTGACACCACGGACAGTGACGGGTAAACGTGACACCACGGACAGTGACGGATAAACGTGACACCACGGACAGTGACGGATAAACGTGACACCACGGACAGTGACGGATAAACGTGACACCACGGACAGTACGGACAGTGACGGATAAACGTGACACCACGGACAGTGACGGATAAACGTGACACTACGGACAGTGACGGATAAACGTGACACTACGGACAGTGACGGATAAACGTGAGTACTGATTGGTGTGGAGCGGGGATGAAGATGGAGGCCCAGAACTGGATCATATCGTTAAAATAGAAAATGCGTTTGAAATAGTTTCAAATTAACGCTAACCACATTCTTGGCGCAGCTTATTACGGTGAGGTGAACAGTAACGTGTTAATTAAATTAATTAAATGAAATACTCCAGCCGTAAACACACACACACACTACTCCAGCCGTAAACACACACACACACACAAGGAAGCCACAAACAAATCTCAGGCGACCTAACAGGGGGACTTTAAGAGAACTTTCTAGAAAACTTCCTGCAGAGGCTGGGGTTAAACAAACACAAATTGAATCAGCTCATCAATTAGAAAGGTATTAGAACTTTTTTCACACGCTAGACGATTTACCTGCTGCTAACGAAATCTGTAGCACCCCCCCCCCCCCTCCCCGCCAACAACACTCTTCAAGTTTGCTACAGGGAAATCTATGATTGTTACTTCCCTTTATCTGTGCTGCAGCTATTTTGTTTTAGTTCTAGTTGACTTTTTGACCACTTTAATTAGCCCAGTATTTAGCCAACTTTAATTAGCCAGTATTTGGCCAACTTTAATTAATTAGACCAGTTAAGGTCGGAGTGGTCTAGCGGTAGAGAGCTGGACTGCTAACCCGTAAGTCTCGAGTTCGAATCCGGGTTCAAGTCAGTAAACCGTCCCTGAGTCCACCCAACTCTGATGGGTACCTAACTCACGTTAGGGAAAGTAAAGGCGGCTGGGCATAGTGCTGACCACACTATCTCTTCATATGCCGAGGTCATAGAAACAAGTGAACTCTACTTCACTTGCCTCATAGACCGTCAGGTTTGAAAAGGGAACTTTACTAATTAAACCAGTATTTGACCAACTTTAATTAGCCCAGCATTGGAACAGCTTTAATTAGCGAAGTATTTGACCAACTTTAATTAGCCCAGCATTGGAACAGCTTTAATTAGCGAAGTATTTGACCAACTTTAATTAGCCCAGCATTGGAACAGCTTTAATTAGCGAAGTATTTGACCAACTTTAATTAGCCCAGCATTGGAACAGCTTTAATTAGCGAAGTATTTGACCAACTTTAATTAGCCCAGCATTGGAACAGCTTTAATTAGCGAAGTATTTGACCAGTTTTAATTAGCGAAGTATTTGACCAGTTTTAATTAGCGAAGTATTTGGCCAACTTTAATTAGCCAAGTATTTGACCAACTTTAATTAGCCAAGTATTTGACCAACTTTGATTAGCGAAGTAAATAAAACAACGGCAGCCTTATCAGGTGGACCCCACATTATGTTTCTATAGCAACCAGTTCATGTTGGTACACTAACCAGTGCATCTTATTCTCTCCATGTTTCCATAGCAACCATTGGAGATCTAAAGATGCTGTGTCTCTAGTTTGTTGATGTCTCAAGTTTGTTGATGTTGTCTAAAGTTTGTTGATGTCTCAAGTTTGTTGATGTTGTCTCAAGTTTGTTGATGTTGTCTCGAGTTTGTTGATGTTGTCTCAAGTTTGTTGATGTTGTCTCAAGTTTGTTGATGTTGTCTCAAGTTTTTGATGTTGTCTCAAGTTTGTTGATGTTGTCTCAAGTTTGTTGATGTTGTCTCAAGTTTGTTGATGTTGTCTCAAGTTTGTTGATGTTGTCTCGAGTTTGTTGATGTTGTCTCAAGTTTGTTGATGTTGTCTCAAGTTTGTTGATGTTGTCTCAAGTTTGTTGATGTCTCAAGTTTGTTGATGTCTCAAGTTTGTTGATGTTGTCTCAAGTTTGTTGATGTTGTCTCAAGTTTGTTGATGTTGTCTCAAGTTTGTTGATGTTGTCTCAAGTTTGTTGATGTCTCAAGTTTGTTGATGTTGTCTCAAGTTTGTTGATGTTGTCTCAAGTTTGTTGATGTCTCAAGTTTGTTGATGTTGTCTCAAGTTTGTTGATGTTGTCTCAAGTTTGTTGATGTCTCAAGTTTGTTGATGTTGTCTCAAGTTTGTTGATGTTGTCTCAAGTTTGTTGATGTTGTCTCAAGTTTGTTGATGTCTCAAGTTTGTTGATGTTGTCTCAAGTTTGTTGATGTTGTCTCAAGTTTGTTGATGTCTCAAGTTTGTTGATGTTGTCTCAAGTTTGTTGATGTTGTCTCAAGTTTGTTGATGTTGTCTCAAGTTTGTTGATGTTGTCTCAAGTTTGTTGATGTTGTCTCAAGTTTGTTGATGTTGTCTCAAGTTTGTTGATGTCTCAAGTTTGTTGATGTTGTCTCAAGTTTTTGATGTTGTCTCAAGTTTGTTGATGTCTCAAGTTTGTTGATGTTGTCTCAAGTTTTTGATGTTGTCTCAAGTTTGTTGATGTCTCAAGTTTGTTGATGTTGTCTCAAGTTTGTTGATGTTGTCTGTTGATGTTGTCTCAAGTTTGTTGATGTTGTCTCAAGTTTGTTGATGTTGTCTGTTGATGTTGTCTCAAGTTTGTTGATGTTGTCTCAAGTTTGTTGATGTCTCAAGTTTGTTGATGTTGTCTCAAGTTTGTTGATGTTGTCTGTTGATGTTGTCTCAAGTTTGTTGATGTTGTCTCAAGTTTGTTGATGTTGTCTCAAGTTTGTTGATGTCTCAAGTTTGTTGATGTTGTCTCAAGTTTGTTGATGTCTCAAGTTTGTTGATGTCTCAAGTTTGTTGATGTTGTCTCAAGTTTGTTGATGTTGTCTGTTGATGTTGTCTCAAGTTTGTTGATGTTGTCTCAAGATTGTTGATGTTGTCTCAAGTTTGTTGATGTCTCAAGGTTGTTGATGTTGTCTCAAGTTTGTTGATGTTGTCTCAAGTTTGTTGATGTTGTCTCAAGTTTGTTGATGTTGTCTCAAGTTTGTTGATGTCTCAAGTTTGTTGATGTTGTCTCAAGTTTGTTGATGTTGTCTCAAGTTTGTTGATGTTGTCTCAAGTTTGTTGATGTCTCAAGTTTGTTGATGTCTCAAGTTTGTTGATGTTGTCTCAAGTTTGTTGATGTTGTCTCAAGTTTGTTGATGTTGTCTCAAGTTTGTTGATGTCTCAAGTTTGTTGATGTTGTCTCAAGTTTGTTGATGTTGTCTCAAGTTTGTTGATGTTGTCTCAAGTTTGTTGATGTTGTCTCAAGTTTGTTGATGTTGTCTCAAGTTTGTTGATGTTGTCTCAAGTTTGTTGATGTTGTCTCAAGTTTGTTGATGTCTCAAGTTTGTTGATGTTGTCTCAAGTTTGTTGATGTCTCAAGTTTGTTGATGTTGTCTCAAGTTTGTTGATGTTGTCTCAAGTTTGTTGATGTTGTCTCAAGTTTGTTGATGTCTCAAGTTTGTTGATGTTGTCTCAAGTTTGTTGATGTTGTCTCAAGTTTGTTGATGTTGTCTCAAGTTTGTTGATGTTGTCTCAAGTTTGTTGATGTTGTCTCAAGTTTGTTGATGTTGTCTCAAGTTTGTTGATGTTGTCTCAAGTTTGTTGATGTCTCAAGTTTGTTGATGTCTCAAGTTTGTTGATGTTGTCTCAAGTTTGTTGATGTTGTCTGTTGATGTTGTCTCAAGTTTGTTGATGTTGTCTCAAGTTTGTTGATGTCTCAAGTTTGTTGATGTTGTCTCAAGTTTGTTGATGTTGTCTCAAGTTTGTTGATGTTGTCTCAAGTTTGTTGATGTTGTCTCAAGTTTGTTGATGTCTCAAGTTTGTTGATGTTGTCTCAAGTTTGTTGATGTTGTCTCAAGTTTGTTGATGTTGTCTCAAGTTTGTTGATGTTGTCTCAAGTTTGTTGATGTCTCAAGTTTGTTGTCTCAAGTTTGTTGATGTTGTCTCAAGTTTGTTGATGTTGTCTCAAGTTTGTTGATGTTGTCTCAAGTTTGTTGATGTTGTCTCAAGTTTGTTGATGTTGTCTCAAGTTTGTTGATGTTGTCTCAAGTTTGTTGATGTTGTCTCAAGTTTGTTGATGTCTCAAGTTTGTTGATGTCTCAAGTTTGTTGATGTTGTCTCAAGTTTGTTGATGTTGTCTCAAGTTTGTTGATGTTGTCTGTTGATGTTGTCTCAAGTTTGTTGATGTTGTCTCAAGTTTGTTGATGTCTCAAGTTTGTTGATGTCTCAAGTTTGTTGATGTTGTCTCAAGTTTGTTGATGTTGTCTGTTGATGTTGTCTCAAGTTTGTTGATGTTGTCTCAAGTTTGTTGATGTCTCAAGTTTGTTGATGTTGTCTGTTGATGTTGTCTCAAGTTTGTTGATGTTGTCTCAAGTTTGTTGATGTTGTCTCAAGTTTGTTGATGTTGTCTCAAGTTTGTTGATGTTGACAGCCATGAGGATGCTATACATTCCCCCCCCCCCCCCTATAGGATGGTGTGGCCTAGCGGTAGAGCGCTAGACTGCTAACCCAAAAGTCTCATGTTTGAATCTGGGTTGAAGTCCCTGGAACGTCCACCCAGCTCTGATGGGTACCTGACTCACGTCAGGAAACGTAAAGACAGCTGGGCATAGAGCTGACCACATTATCTCTTGGTATGCACAAGTCAAGAAACACATCTGTCCAATGGATTGCTGGGTGTAAAGATGAAATTTGTCCTTTTGTTTACCTACCCCCCCCCCCCCTCATCAAGTAACTGCTATGCTGAAATATGTGAACACACAAACTGACCAATCCATTTGCTATATTATTTATTGTCAACATCAAATTTGTAGCTGTACACACAACACACGTACACACACACACACAGGTTGACTGATATGTACACAGGCTGGTCAGTGGTCAGACCAAGACTCAGTACACCTAGAGTGCCATCAACTCATGTACCACAGGACAGCACACAGATCTGGAGTTGACCCTCCCATCTCTACATACAGACATGACGTGTGAGTTTATCTTGAGTCTCCCCTCATCTGTTCCAGGTATTCTTCATACGTGATACTCGGCCCATGCACTTTTTCATCGTAAAATTTCTTCTGGATAAATTTTCTCCCGGAGTAACCACAGACACCCACCTCAGGTTTATCCTGGGGGAGAGAGAACATTCAGATGGTTAGAAAACAGGGAGCTCAAGTCAGATGGTTAGAAAACAGGGAGCTCAAGTCAGATGGTTAGAAAACAGGGAGCTTAAGTCAGATGGTTACAAAACAGGGAGCTCAAGTCAGATGGTTAGAAAACAGGGAGCTCAAGTCAGATGGTTAGAAAACAGGGAGCTCAAGTCAGATGGTTAGAAAACAGGGAGCTCAAGTCAGATGGTTAGAAAACAGGGAGCTTAAGTCAGATGGTTAGAAAACAGGGAGCTCAAGTCAGATGGTTAGAAAAAAGGAAGCTTAAGTCAGATGGTTAGAAAACAGGGAGCTTAAGTCAGATGGTTAGAAAACAGGAAGCTCAAGTCAGATGGTTAGAAAACAGGGAGCTCAAATTACATCAAAGAACATCATCTAACTAACCCTACAATACCAACCATACCTAGAATACCATCCCCACAATATCATCCCCACAATACCATCCCTAGAATACCATCCCTACTAACCCAACAATACCATCCCCACAATACTATCCCTACTCACAAGATTGATGTAGACCTTAGGATGACCCAAGGCTCCGCAGCTGTTGGACCAGACGTGAGATTTGTTGACCACAACCACAGGATCCTCCGCTATCAACTCGATGGCCCAGTTAGGATTGATCTGACAGTTGGAAACAACAACCAGTTTTACAACTTTTGATACACAACAACCCGTTTTACAACTTTTGATACACAACAACCCGTTTTACAACTTTTGATACACAACATCCAGTTTTACAACTTTTGATACACAACATCCAGTTTTACAACTTTTGATCCAGTCACAACCCAATGGTCCAGTTACAACCCAGCTATTGTACAACCCAATGGTCCAGTCACAACCCAGCTATTGTACAACCCAATGATCCAGTCACAACCCAGCTATTGTACAACCCAGCTATTGTACAACCCAATGATCCAGTCACAACCCAGCTATTGTACAACCCAGCTATTGTACAACCCAGCTATTGTACAACCCAATGATCCAGTCACAACCCAGCTATTGTACAACCCAATCATCCAGAAATCAATGAACCTTACCAGTTTATCCCTGTCCACAAAACGAATATTCCTGTAGTCATCTTTGTCATAAACCTGTATGTAAATTGACAGAAAGATCTCAAGTTTCATCAAATCAACCAGAGAAAACTAAATCATATAAGCTTACTCTTAATTATCCTAAACATGGTACCACAAATTTCCTTCAAATACCTTAGCCTGTCTTAATACTTTTTCATTTAATTATTATATCCGTAAGCAGAGCCGGCGTTAGGGGGTGGCAAACGGGGCGGTCGCCCTAGGCCCCGCGCTTGAAGGGGCCCCGCGCTTCAGCATTGTCATTGTTATTCGAATTAGTTTGTAAACTTAAATAAGTCTTTCTGAATTCAATTGGGAAAACCTAAATGGTCGAATACTGACGTTGTTGATTGTTATAACTGAAACCACGGTTGATGTCACAGTGTTATCACCCACCTGAACTGGGAAAAGCCGTAATTCGATACAAAATACAGTGTCACACCTCGCTGTGTGCTGGGTACGGCCGCCTCGCATTTTGCCCGAGGTGACTGGAAATAGTTTGACGCGAATTAGACCCCGACCCGAAAAGATATGTACATTTGGGAAACAAGTAAAGAGATACCCTATTGTATGCGAGCCGACAAAGACGTTCTTTTAGTGAGCTGTGGGGATGTCTGTAGTAGGGGGTCATCCATAAATGACGTCACACTCGTAGGGGGGAGGGGGGGTCCGTAATTTTGTGACGATGTATGATGAGGGGGAGGGGGGGGGGGTCAGATGTTGCGACGTCACATTTTTGCATTATAAAAAAGCAATGTTAGAAAACGAATTTTAGACGTTATTTCGCGTTTTAGATAACTGTTTTAATCAATTGTAGCAGTTTAGACAAGATTTTGGAAAAATATCGATGTTTTTAAAAAATTCAACTGCAATTTTGAGGGGGGGGGTTGTGGGTTGAGGTGTGTACGTCATTTTAGGGGGGGGGGGGTCTGGCTTTTTGTGACGACGTGTGACGGAGGGGAGGGGGGGAGGTGAAAATCGTCAAAAAAAGCGTGACGTCATTTATGGATGACCCCTAGACAGTAAATGACATGATGAACGCTAGTCCTGACTTTCTTGTTGTAGTTGGCGTATATGTACCTACTTGTCTTGGTATAACATAATTAACATTCAGTTGAGTGCAGAAGGGGTGGGAGAAGGGTAAGGGGGGCGGGGGGGGGGGGGGGAGGGGGAGGCCATGGGGATCTACATCAGTGGGGCATTAAACAAAGTGATTTTTTTTTAAATTTTTTGGGGGGAAGAAAGTTAAAAGTGTTATTAGGTTGTCATTTCTAGGATTCATCCGTTCCAAGACAGAATGATTAATTTCCCGACTTCATCCATATTGTATTATTCATGCTTCTGCGAATTGTCCTCGTCGCACAACTTTTATGTAGGAAGGGGAATCGTTGAAGGCATTGAAGGGTAGAGACTTAGTAGTTATTGATATTCCCCTAATAAACGCGGTCTTTCAATTTGTATCTGATACTTTGGTGAACTTTAACGACATTTGTAGAGTGATTAAGCCCATTTTTTTTTAATTGTAGGGATATCCTATACAATAGTGAAGACAGTAATGATTTTGGTTTTTACATATTGTATAGATTCTAAACAAATTTTGAAGTCTATACTGTTTTGATACATCAGGCCGAGTTCGCTGTATTGTCAAGTTGTCCTGATTTCTCACACGTCTAAAGTACCGACTTTCACGGCAGCCCGAACATGCCGTCGCGAAACTCATAAATAAGGTGTAGCTGGCTGTCACTTCCTAATTATAGACACGAAACTTTTCTTGTGATACCGCGATCATGACAGGCAATGTAATACGTGGACGCTCTATAAACACAAACCTTCTCAGTAACCTAGTATTTGAACCTTGTGACCCTTTTCTTAGGGTTTGGCATTCCATAGCCATAAATTAAAATGCACAGTTATCCTTTACTTCACGCCACCAACAGCCACCCAACCCAAAGCTTCAGCCTACTGAGCGACCGTGATTACATTTGAGAATCATTTCTTTTGGATATCCATAAACATAGTCTATTTTCAAGATTCGTAACCAGTGTTTATTCACGATTCGAACTAAGTCCAAAAGCTATCAATGTGTTCTATTTCTTTTTAACTTTAATCAATTTTGTTTTATTGATATTGTAATTTGTGTAAAACTCTGTACTTACTAACCCTCTCTTTTTTAGATACATCTCAAACGCATGACTTTTATATTAACTGTTAGTCATTAAAAAAAAATATTGTCCTAATTTTTGGGCATGTAACTGAATTTTCTTTAGTGGTATAGATTACATAACTATCAAAAGTGATTTAGGGGTCATCCATAAATGACGTCACGCTTTTTTTGACGATTTTTACCTCCCACCTCCCCTCCGTCACACGTCGTCACAAAAAGTCAGACCCCCCCCCTAAAATGACGTAACACCTCAACCTACAACCCCCCTCAAAATTGCAGTTGAATTTTTTTAAAACATCGATATTTTTCCAAAATCTTGTCTAAACTATTACAATTTATTAAAACAGTTATCTAAAACGCGAAATAACGTCTAAAATTCGTTTTCTAACATTGCTTTTTTATAATGCAAAAATGTGACGTCGCAACATCTGAACCCCCCCCCCCTCCCCCTCATCACACATCGTCACAAAATTACGGACCCCCCCTCCCCCCTACGAGTGTGACGTCATTTATGGATGACCCCTTAATATCTTTGCAAGAAAAAACAACACAAAGAACATTGGGTTAAAACGTGGATGAGGTAAACATCTGATTTTATGGTGAGGTTAGGCATTTGCTTATATTTTCCACAACACTTATGTGTTATTATGTGTGCATGCATATTATATAGACCTATACATACATATATATATATATATATATATATATATATATATATATATATATATATATATATATATATATATATACATATATATAGGCTATTTATATAATGAAAAAAGCAGGCTTCGCGCGGAAAGTTGGCCCTAGGCCCCGCGTATTCCTACCGCCGGCTCTGTCCGTAAGAAGATAAAACAAAATGTAAGGCCCAAATTGATCTACTTTTAGGGACAGGTACATTCAATAATAATTTGTTTAAAAACTCTGTCAATCTTTTAATTAAAAAAAAACTGATGTGTGAGGGGAGGGTTTTTTGTCGAGATAAGAATGTATCTAATGTATACCGTAATGTACTGTGTTATCTTCTTCTTTAAAATGTAGCCTGGCTCAGTTTAGTGATGGAAGCAAACACAAAAGGTCCAACTCAAGGTGAAACTATTATGTTCTTTATTTACACATCAATCTGTTTACAGCTAACACTCCACTTCTACTAATACTATCTAAATACAACTAACACTTCTCACTACACGCTCCCATGACCAACTTTAACACTGTTTACATATTTTTAACTCTCTACATCTTTCCTCTAGCGCTACCTATCTCTAGCTGCTGACCCACGCTTCAGTGGTCATCTCACTACTCTTGTGTAACCAGTTGTCTCCTGCAATTCTATTGGTCTACCTAACTACGCTATGCTGTTTTGCTTTCTTCAGCTTGACCTCTATGACGTATAACTTGCATCATCACACTATGTCATTTCCTGGCCTATTTATAGCATGTCTCCAAAGAACTAATTATAGATTGTTAGCACCATCATTATTTGATTGAGGTTATTACTTAGGTTTGATGAAAATAAATAGAAATGGTTAGTTAGGCTTTAAACAGAAGAAACTTAGGTTTGATGAAAATAAATAGAAATGGTTAGGCTTTAAACAGAAGAAACTTAGGTTTGATGAAAATAAATTTAACTAACACCCCCTTTTTAATACACTATGAAATTCTCTAGCCTCTAGGGACGGCTCGAAATGTATAGGCCTACCAAACAAGAAAATTAAAATGTCTCAAATCCTATGTGTAGAATACAAAATGAAACATATCACAATAGAATGGTTGCGGAGTATCATGGATTCATGGTACTTTCTTTTTTTTCTATGTCAAATAGTTACGGAATGAGTCTCTCATGACCCAATTGAAATCGGGGTGGGTCGGGACTTACAATTTTTTTGTTATGTGTGTTCGCAGATCGGAATTTTTGGTAATCTATCGTTTTGGGTACGTAAAATCGCCCGCGACTAGTAATGTGAAAAACAGGTGACTCCTTAAATTTTAATAATTATTTCACATTTTGAGGAGGATTTATGTTTTTAAAAATTCAAAAATGTTTCCTTGATTCATTTATGTACCTGTTTTTAAACAATTGAATTAAAACTTTTCCGTAATAAATAAAGACTAGCGATGTTTCCAACAGATGCAACCATGCTCATTTACTATAGCAGCCATCTTGTCTAAGTTTTATTTTTATAAGCTTTTAGCGCCAGATTCAGGGGGAAGCCACTCTATTTTACAAATGGCTGCTGTTTATATAGCAAATCTTGCTCTCAGACACTGCTGTTTAAAGTTAATTTCTGGCCTATATCGATATATTTAGCCATTGATTTAGGTTTATTATTCATTTATCTATAATATTTGACACAAAAGTATGACAATATACTTCTATTAAAGCCTTGACACAGGGGAAAAATGGATCTCCCGATGGAGAATTTATGAAGCCGGGTGGTGAAAGCCAATATGTATTGGAAACCACCAGGTCGACCACCATTATTTCCACTAGGACCACCATCAATATTGGAGCTTGGAATGTCCGCACGATGTTCGAAGCTGGAAAAGCAACCCAAATAGCAGCAGAAATGAGACGCTATAAAATAGCTATCCTGGGTGTCAGCGAATCAAGGTGGACTGGCTCAGGACAAAAAAGGCTGATATCAGGAGAGCTACTGCTGTACTCAGGTCATGAGGATGAAAATGCACCACATACTCAAGGAGTTGCACTCATGCTATCAAACCAAGCACAAAGGGCTCTCATCGGATGGGAGGCACACTGCCCGCGGATCATAACAGCTACCTTTAAAACTAAAATAAGACGAATAAACATGGACATAATACAGGCCTACGCCCCAACAAATGACAGCAAAGAGGAGGACAAAGACGAATTCTACAACAGGCTAATGACCATTATCCAGAACCGCCCAAGAAGAAACATCCTTATACTCATGGGCGACTTCAATGCTAAGATTGGAAGCGACAACAGAGGATATGAAGAATGTATGGGACAGCAGGGTTTAGGTGAGATGAACGAAAACGGAGAAAGATTTGCTGACTTGTGTGCCACAAATAATTTAGTCATTGGCGGTAGTCTCTTTCATCATAAAAGGATACATAAAGCTACTTGGGTATCACCCGACCTATCTACAGAAAACCAGATAGACCATATATGTATCATAAAAAAGTTCAGGAGATCACTTCAGGATGTACGCGTCAAGAGAGGAGCTGATGTTGCTTCAGACCATCACCTACTGGTAGCTAAAGTAAAACTCAAGCTGAAGAAAAACATGTTGGAAAACAAAAGGAAATACAGGTACAACACAGGCCT